CAGGCAGGGGGGGAAGAAAACGTGTTTCTAGCATACGGACTCACTGTGTGTGTGTGTGTGTGTGTGTGTGTGTGTGTGTGTGGACTAGGGCTGAGACCAATATCCTATATTCAAATACTGTCTATATTTCAAGAACTGTCTGCTTAGTGGCAAAATAGACCAGATGGCGACAACAGCTTCATGCACTTCTTTGATTATTTGCCGTTTCATGCCACGGAAAAGTTCCGTGTTTACAGCACAGCTCGCTCAGAGCTTCAATGTCGGTACTGTAGAACGTCTGTAGAATGTCTGTACACATGTGACATCCTCTGTCCCGAAACCCTCACATCTGCACAGGAAAAACTCCCCAAACAATGAAAACCCCTCATGGGGAGAAAAGGGAGGAAACCTCAGTGAGAAGGTCAGAGGATCCGTCTCCTGATGGACCGACTACAATGACGTCATGTGTACAGAACGAACAATGTAAGATATAAGTAAGTCAATCAGTCAAGAACAGATCTTCTTCCTCCTCCTCCCTCTCCTCCTTAGTGAGGAGGAGGAACTTCACACAGGAGGAGAAGCGACGCTCCCTAGTCGTCCTTCTGCAAAAACATTTTTTTAAACTTTTTTTTCTGTGATTATTTTGAAATATAATATGTTTTGTTTCTCTTACACACTCTCTCGACGTGTTTTGACCAAACATAATTGGATTTTTTCAAAACCTTTTTTTAGTTAGTTAGAAAAAATGTCCAATATGTGAGGGCAAAAAAAGTCTCGAAAAACCGTTTATGTGCGCTCACACACACACACACACACACACACACACACACACACACACACACACACACACACACACACACACTCACCTCCGCAGCAGTAGTGTGTGTGAGTGGCGCGGACCTGCTGCAGCAGGCGCTCCATGGCCTCGATGTGGCTCCGCCTCCTCGGCTCTCGGCCATCGCTGTCCCTCCAATCTGGCGAGAGGAGCAGAGGTCAAAGGTGAGCGGGGCTTTAGCAGATACACATACGTGAGCTTGCTTATTACTGCGTAGCAATCAACCCACTAAAAGACATTTAAGTAGATAAATATGAAACATTACAATAGAATAAAGGAGTGAGTTCAAAGTGAAGATATGATGAACAGTAACGTTCTGTCTTTAGGTATTTAGCCGTGTCCCCCAGCGAGACAACAACCAGCGGCCTGAGGAGCGCCGATGTTCCTCTGATCGGCCGTATGGGTGATGCATCAGCTGACTCGGAGAAGAAGAGGCAGGGTGAACTCACTGGACGGAGCAGCTGACGGAGGCAGGGCGGAGGACGGAGGACCCCAGCCCCTCATGTTGTAGGCCGACACCCGGACGTAGTACAGGCGGCCCTGAAACACAGAGGAGCCCAAAGAGGACCTCGTTCTACTGAGAGACCTTCTCAAGGTGAACGAGATGAAACAACTCCAACACGATGTTCCTCTTTCAGCTATTTCAGGAGCTCATACGAATGTTCATGTCAAGGTTCATCAGAAAAATGAGTGAAGTATCTATTGAGCAGAGAAGCGCTGTGACTCATCTCCAACGAGTGGCCAGAGACACGGAGGAAGCTCTGGTTGTGTGTCTGCGTGGAGTCATTCACGTGTCTTTGTATCAGTTTTGTGTCTCTTTGTGTCAGAAGGACGAGGAAGAAGAGGAGGAGGAGAGGAAGGGTGCTGCTGTTACCGTGGTGAGGTTGCTGATGATGCACTTAAGGGTCTGAAGATTATCCATGACGATCTCTCCAGCAAGCAGCGAGAAATCCTTCAGGCAGCTCCACTCCACTGTGCACGCACACGCACACACACACACACACGCACGCACACACACACACACACACACACACACACACACACAGACAATAAACAATCAACTCGTCTTTGAATTCAAAATCAATAGTTCCTCCTGAGATGAAGAAACAGCAGATTAACCTTCTCTGCTGCCCCCGTTCATCCCCTACAAGGTGCTGGAGCTCCGGCTGTGTGTCTGTCAGTGTGTGTACCTCTGTGTGTGTGTGTACCTCTGTGTGTGTGTGTCTGTCTGTGCACCTCTGTGTGTGTGTGTGTGTGTCTCTGTGTCTGTCTGTGTGTGTGTGTCTGTACTCTGTGTGTGTGTCTGTGTGTATACCTCTGTGTGTGTGTGTACCTCTGTGTGTGTGTGTGTACCTCTGTGTGTGTCTGTGTACCTCTGTGTCTGTCTGTGTGTGTGTGTACCTCTGTGTGTGTCTGTGCACCTCTGTGTGTGTGTGTGTCTGTGTGTGTACCTCTGTGTGTGTGTCTGTGTGTGTGTACCTCTGTGTGTGTGTGTGTGTCTGTGTGTGTGTGTACCTCTGTGTGTGTGTGTCTGTGCACCTCTGTGTGTGTGTGTGTCTGTGCACCTCTGTGTGTGTGTGTGTACCTCTGTGTGTCTGTGTGTGTGTGTACCTCTGTGTGTGTGTGTCTGTGAGTGTGTACCTCTGTGTGTCTGTGTGTGTGAGTGTCTGTGCACCTCTGTGTGTGTGTGTGTGTGTACCTCTGTGTGTGTGTACCTCTGTGTGTCTGTGTGTGTACCTGTGTGTGTGTGTGTGTGTACGTGTGTGTGTGTGTGTACCTCTGTGTGTGTGTGTGTGTGTGTCTGTGCACCTCTGTGTGTGTCTGTGTGTGTGTACCTCTGTGTGTCTGTGTACCTCTGTGTGTGTGTGTGTGTGTACCTCTGTGTGTCTGTGTGTGTGTGTGTACCTCTGTACTTGGTCACCACAGTGGAGTTCAGGCTCAAAGGCTCCTGGAAGTTGACCGTCAGCGACGTGCTGCTGCTGATGCTCAGACGGACCATAGACGGGGTCTCCGGGGCACCTGAGCAGGGTTATAAAGAGGAGGTGATGATCAGGTGATTGATCGTATCTCTCACAGTCTGAGCTTCATGATGAAGAGATGTATCTATTTAATCTTAGTCACTATATGTTTAGTCAGCAATAAGACGCAGAGATGGAAAAGATCTCTAACGTCCATGAAATGTGATGAGTTAACAGCTGCAGGCTTCATAAGTTCCCTCGACCTCAAATTAATGTTCAAATAAATGTGACAGAACCGTCTGCAGGACGGTGACATCGTCACCAGGTTAAAAAGGAGATGGCTCGTGAGGTCAAGCTGCTTCGGGGAAAAAAGGAATAAATGTGCGAATGCGATGCAGGCGCGCACACACACACACACACACACACACACACACACACACACACACACACACACACACACACACACAGGACTCACGTGCGTGCTGCAGGCCGGCCGCCATGCGTCGGTACAGCTTGCTCCTCCACTCCCAGGCCCTCAGCTGTCTGTCCCTCTGACACACCTCCAGGGAGACGCCCTCCATCTGGGCCTGGGAGGCCAGCTCGCTCGCCCGCTGCTCCGCCTCCGACACCAGCGAGGAGAGGTGGGCCTCCCGCCCCGCAGGGCTCTGGACTGAGTTTTATAACAAACAAAACAATGTGTTTTGATACCTGTATATATTCTATACCGTATTTATTGGCAGCTGTGATTTTTATTTTATTTATTTTTATTAATCTCTCCAGCAGGACGAATTATAGAAACATCAAAGACGAACTGAGCACACAAAACGGGAAGCGTGGGGCGTCTCCATGACAACAGCAGCGTTTAACCAGGAGGCCTCTTCATCAAGCTACATGACCAATCAGGATGGAGCGGGCGGAACACACACACACACACACACACACACACACACACACACACACAGGTTGACTTGGCTCAGGAGGAATGACATACAGTAAACAGGGAGCAGCCGGTTCGGGGTGGGGGGGCAGAATCAGTATTGACTCTGTTTACAGGGAGTGACCCCCCCCCCCCCCAACAAATAAATGACTTAGCTGTAATTGCCCCGCCGTTACATGCATCATTGGAAAAGTTAAACCATTAAACGACAAACCTTGTTAAAGCCGCTCAGAGGACACACACACACACACACACACACACACACACACACACAAACACAAAGTGTGTCTGGTCCACAAACACACTCTCACACACATTATATAATTTGATATTTTTATATTAGAATGAAGTACAATTGTTATTGTTTTAGAAACAGGACCTTTATGTTAATATTTAGAAGCTAAATATGCCAGGCAGAGGAAGAAACTCACAGTGAGGACTCTCCTTGCCGCCGGCCTTCAGCAGCAGCTTGGCGATGGGCGTGTTGTTGGTCATGATGGCGATGTCCAGCGGTGTCAGGCCCTGGTTGTTTGGCGTGTTCAGGTCCAGCTCCTCGGCAGAGAACTGGTAGAGGAGGATCTGCACGGCGTCCAGGTCCTGCTGCTCCACGGCCTCAAACAGACAGTCGCCGCCCTGCATGGTCTGTGGACACAACAGAAACCCACGGTTACCGCCGCACACCGCCAAGAAGGAAGAAGCGGAAACAATCGTCTCCTCGAACCCCCTACCCCTCCTCCCCCCTCCACCCTTCTTCCGGGAGACTTTGTCAACTACTTCACCAAGAAAATAGCTGACATACGCTCCTCCTTCTCAAACCCACCTCCTACTTCTCGCGTCCCACCGACCTCACCTCTTTCGCCCTCACTTTCCTCTTTCACCGCCCTCTCTCCTAACCAAATTCTTACCCCAGTAACCTCTGCCCGTTCGACCACCTGCCCTCTTGACCCCATTCCATCACATCTTCTACAATCTATCGCACCTGACCTTCTTCCTGCACCTGACCTTCTTCCGTTCCCTTCTTCCGTTCCTCACCTGTCTCATCAACAACGCTCTGTTATCTGGCTGTTTTCCCAATTCTCTCAAGGAGGCGAGAGTCAACCCCCTCCTGAAGAAACCTACCCTCGACCCTTCTGAAGAAAACAACTACAGACCGGTCTCTCTTCTTCCCTTTTTGTCCAAAACCCTTGAACGTGCTATCTTTAATCAACTCTCTTCTTATCTCCACTGTAACAACCTCCTTGACCCCCACCAGTCAGGCTTCAAGGCCGTTCCACAGAGACTGCTCTCCTTGCTGTCTCAGAGCAACTCCACACTGCTAGAGCTCCTCTCTCTCCTCTGTCCTCGTCCTTCTGGACCTCTCTGCTGCATTTGACACAGTCAACCACCAGATCCTTGTCTCCTCCCTTCAGGAACTTGGTGTCACAGGCTCTGCTCTCTCCCTTCTCTCGTCCTACCTCGACGGCCGCACCTACCGTGTAACCTGGAGAGGATCTGTGTCGGAACCTTTTCCTCTTACTACTGGAGTTCCTCAGGGTTCCATGCTGGGTCCCCTCCTGTTCTCGCTTTACACCAACTCTCTTGGCGCTGTCATTCGCTCGCATGGCTTCTCCTACCACAGCTATGCCGACGACACCCAACTAATTCTCTCCTTCCCTCACTCGGATCTCTGCCTGTCTGACTGACGTCTCTCAGTGGATCCGCCCACCATCTGAAAATCAACCCCGACAAGACTGAACTACTTCTCTTTCCCGGAAAAGATTCGCTTACCCAGGACCTGACAGTCAACTTTGGGAACTCCGTACTAACGCCCACTTTGACCGCTAAGAACCTCGGCGTCACACTCGACAGCCAACTCTCCCTGACTCCCAACATCACCGCGACAACGCGATCCTGTAGATACTCGCTCTACAACATCAGGAGAATACGTCCCCTTCTCACTCAGAAGAAGGTACTGATTCAGGCTCTTGTCATCTCCCTCCTGGACTACTGCAACTCCCTCCTGGCTGGTCTCCCTGCCACCACCATTCCACCTCTGCAGCTCATTCAGAATGCAGCAGCTCGACTGGTCTTCAACCTTCCGAAATTCTCCCACACTACTCCACTCCTCCGCTCTCTTCACTGGTACCGGTGGATCATCCAGTTCTAAACATGGTGCTCACGTACCATGCTGTGAATGGATGGGGTCCAGCTTACATCCAGGACCTGGTCCAACCCGACATCCCGACCCGCACTCTCCGCTCTGCATCTGCAAAACTACTCGTCCCTCCCTCACTGAGAGCAAAACACTCGACTAGATCTCCACTCTTCGCTGTCCTTGCGCCGAAATGGTGGAACGAGCTCTCTGAAGACATCAGGACCACAGAGAGCCTTCACATCTTCCACCGCAAACTAAAGACACACCTCTTCAGACTCTACCTCGACTAAAGACTAACAAATTGTAGGACTTAAATTGTACTTGTAACGCCATCTATAGCAAATTGTAAATTTGCTTATTTGAGGAAATTGCACTTTCTTGTTTCTTGTTCTCCTGAGTTTGTACCCTATGGTTGAATGTACTTATTGTACGTCGCTTTGGATAAAAGCGTCAGCTAAATGACATGTAATTAAATGTAATGTAATCATGAACGTCAATGTTTTATTCTGTTTAAACCTCTTGATGATCAGTAATCATGCAGCTTATGTGACACACCCTTGTGTTTCACACAAAAAGCAAAGAGCTGGGCGCCGTTCCTCGTACGTGGCTAACTGAGTTAGCCGGATCATTTTCAGGATAAGATTACAGGGATCAGGCTTTTGGGTTCCAAAAAGCAGGTTTGGCAAAATCACCATAGCAACACTTGAACGTGCTCCAGCGCAAGTTAAGTCAGCTGGACGTCACAGACTGATTCACACGCATGTCCAAACTCCACCAACATACATGTATGAACACTGTGTCTGTGTCATCTACTCACATGGCTTCTCCTTCCATCGCTATGCTGACAACACCCAACTCATCCTGTCTTTCCTCCAATCTCAGACACGGGTAGCGGATGGTCTACATCCAGGACCTGATTCTAACCTTACCCGGTTTGACCAGGTCCGGTCTAGATTCAGGACCTGGTCTAACCTTACCCGGTTTGACCAGGTCCGGTCTAGATTCAGGACCTGATTCTAACCATACCCGGTTTGACCAGGTCCGGTCTAGATTCGGGACCTGATTCTAACCTTACCCGGTTTGACCAGGTCCGGTCTAGATTCAGGACCTGGTCTAACCTTACCTGGTTTGACCAGGTCCGGTCTATATTCAGGACCTGATTCTAACCATACCCGGTTTGACCAGGTCCGGTCTAGATTCAGGACCTGATTCTAACCATACCCAGTTTGACCAGGTCCGGTCTAGATTCGGGACCTGATTCTAACCTTAACCGGTTTGACCAGGTCCGGTCTAAATTTCAGTACCTGATTCTAACCATACCCGGTTTGACCAGGTCCGGTCTTTATCCAGGACCGGATTCTAACCTTACCTTGATAGATCAGGTCATGTCTTCATCCAGGACCTGGTCTAACCGTACCTTGATAGATCAGGTCCAGTCTACATCCAGGACCTGGTCTAATCTTATGTCGCTGCTCGCTCACTTTGCTCGGCATTGATCTGCTTATTGGTCCCTCACAGAGAGCTAAACTCTCAAAAAAATCCGGAAGAGGAAGAGGAAGAGGAGAATGAGGCAGAAGAAGATGTTGATGAAAACAGACAGAAAGAGGGAGGAAGAAGAGAAGAGGAAGAGGAAAAGTAAAACGGGGTAGAAAGAGGA